TGACCGGCAGACTGGGGCAGCGGCTGCAGTACTGAACTGTGGTGGTGAAGCCGGAGCTGCATTTTCCGCTGAAGCTCTCAGTGTTCCAGACCCTGTCCTCCCCTACGGTCACGAGCTGTAGGCAGTGACCCAAAGAACAAGACCGCGGGTACTGTACAAGCGGTGGAAGTGAAGTTTCTCTGTAGGTTGCTGGGCTCACTCTCCCTGACGGGGTGGAGCTCGGCAGTCTGGGGGGATCCTGGAGTGGAGTCGCTGCTCCCCTGGATCAAGAGGAGCGAGCTGAGGTGGTTCTGGGGAGGATGACCCACGGGCACGGGAACACTGGGAAGAGACCCTGGGGCAGACTCGGGACACGGCTGGAGGGATTATAGCTCTCAGCGGGCCTGGGAATCCCCCAGGATTAGCTGGAGACTGTTGCTGGGGAAAGGGAAGTCTGGTCTGCCTGCTCAGCCTGTTACCACTGGGACCCTCACCAGGACCAAGTAGTTAGAAGACGAGATGAGGCATGTCATTGAAAAATGAACTCTCAAACACACAGCATTATGTATTGGGTATTAGGTACTCATTTTCAATACAAGAAGTCCTGAATTTTCACTGACAAACTGTAATGCTACCTATCAGAACAATCTGAATCTTGTGCTGATGATCAGTGTATGTACGCTGATTCTTTCTGAGATCTCTGGGGAGAGCTATGAAGCATTTATGATTAAAAATACTGAAAGCCACATGCATTTAATGCAATTCAAATGTAACTGCCTGAAGCACTGTTTTGATCAACGACATCTCAAACTGGATAATTAAAATCACACAAATATGTACGAGTCAATTCCACTTCTCAACCATACCAAGTGATTTATAAACATTCCGACAAATCTGACTAACGCTAATTAAAAACAAATGCAGCTTAACAAAAGACTGCGAAAACTGCTTACAGAAACCAGCTTCAGAAAGTAGGTATTACATCTTAAAACATCTCTATCCCATGAGGCCCTGTCACGGCATCTCAGTTATTACAGATTCAGACACAGATGTGCTTCAATACAAGAAGGCTACCAAAGTCAGAGACCTGGATTTCTGCCTGTATGTCAATAATAGCATTTAAAACGTTCAAGCTTCACTACAAAAACACAAATACTTCTGTCTTTAGGCTTGTGAATGCATCTAAAAACATAAAATGCACAAAACAATTGCACTCAGTGTTCAAAACATTTTATCTATGCTTTTCTTTACAAAGCTTTAATTCTAGCAATAACTGGGGATGACAGCAACTAATTCAAAAAACACATGGATGTCTGTTTTTAATGGTTTTTGCAGTTTTTCAGAGATAGAAAAAACACTCAAAATCTAATTAAAAAAAGAGACCCAACTGTTTAAAAAATATAAACATCACTACCCAAAGTTATTGACAACATTTTAAACTTTGGTCATTTTATTTGATTGATTTTTTTTTTCAAACCGAACATGAGGGACATTTGTTTAAAGTTCTTGCACTCTTGTAATTATATTTATAGTAAGACATCGGTGCACAGAATTGTTTCAACAGCAGCATCACTTGTGCAGGGTTAATCAGCTTCACTACTTGGATACAACCAGCTCCCAAGTTGTTAGACCGATCTTGCTAATCACCAATTACTAATTAAGGAGCCAAAGCTGCACTTTAAGTGTAGCTAAATTGTACAGTGAAATGTATTTCTGAAGGTCCTTGTATTGAGTGAGGTATTAAGAAGAGTAACTGTTTTGCTCCTTAAATGTAAAGCTATGCTTTAGATTTCCACCCAACCGTTTTCTAACTGCTATATCCAATGGAGGGCTGCAGGGGAGCCAGGGCCTTTCCCACTTGTCCATTAGAACAACAGCCTTGACCCAAGACCAACAGTCACAGCGCTGACACAAAGGATAAATACTGCATTCGCGTTCACGCTCCCAGTTGGAAATGTAAAGCCCTTTCCCTGGACGACATTTGTTATGTTATGGCTCTAATTATGAAACTCATTACATTTCATGTCATAGTTCCCCGTCAAAACCGGATCGCGTGGGCAGCACAGCAGTGCGAAAATGAGCCCAGCTGCCTCCCAGTGCTTCTGGACTGGGGGGGCCCTCTGTGAGGACTTTGTTTGTTCTCCCCGTGTACAGTACATGTCAGTTTTCTCTGGGAGCTCTAGTTTCACCCCACGTGCCAAAGACATGATGGCTTGTTCAACCCTTCTCTTTAAATTGTCCCTGCAATTTAAGGTTTCACTACTGCGGCCATACAGTACATGTGTTCCATTCGGAGAAGGTGCGCCCATGACGCACAGC